ACTAGTATGAATCCGAAGTAAAGCAAGGAAGACAGCAAATCCGTTTCTTTTGAAGTATATTATAGATGACTAAATATGAGAAGTTAACAAATATATCCACAAATACTGTGATATTCAAACTGCAAGGATATAAAGAACAAATTTAAAATGATCCTAATAATGACAGAGACCAACAAATGGTGTAAATGTATATTGGTGTTCAGAGATTTAAATGTGTCACTTGAAGTGGTTCTTCATCTTGGCCAACAGTTTGCCAGTGGATGAAAATAGCGGCCCCTTTATACTAGTGTCCAGAGTCATGATTGTTGCTGGCTAAGGGAAGATAATAGTTAACATATTGTGTTGTAAAACTTCATCAGGGGTAATTGTTCTCTAGAGGTTACCTTCCTCACCAACCAAGGAGCTCTTTCATACGCAATGTTAAAATCACTGGATTTGCTCATATTCTTAACCCCTAGATTTTTTGTGCTATTTTCTCAATATTTCTGAAATAATAAGTCACAAGTTTGATAGCTTCCAAGATTGTCCCCTGAGCCTGGACTTCAAATAAAATTCTGTTTAAAAACCATCTTAATGCAGAAACTCAGAAACATAGCAGTTTAAAAATTAAAAGTCAGTTTGATATTGTAAAGTACAACCATATTTCTGACCATTGAATCCCTTCCACTCTGTCATTTGGTCATCCAATTGCTCTCTGACCAGCTCTCCTATGAGGAATTTGGTTTCCCAGATAGGACACTTTCTTTAGGAAGTCCCTTACTGTGGAAAAATGTAATTTTTCTGAAACTTGTCAACAATAGTCTTTTTTCTTTGAAATTTCATAAAAGTTGAACCATGATTTATTTAACAATGATAGTTATATTTTTTCTTGCATCCTCATTTATCCAATCTAAACATTTCTAATTCTCTCAAAAGACTTTAATTCTTTCCTGGACTTCATCAATCTACTTCTCATGTTATAAGTTTTCTGCCTTAACCTTAAAAAATGTAAAGCAGTCAGAACTGAAGTAGATTTTCCAGGAATAGCCTGGATACCATTGAGTAGGGGGAACTCTTTTTTCTTAACTGTAAAAGCTATGTCTGAGTTAAGCCTTGCTAATAGCATACTGACTGCATACCCACAGCTTATTGTCTTACAAAACCCTTAAGCTTGTCTTTGAGATGAGTTCCTTCACCTGCTTACTGTGTATATAGTTTCTATTACATGCATGCATGTGTATATGTTATCAGTAAATGTTTATATGTAGACACTCCTTAAATGTTTTTTTATTCTTCACTCTGTCTCCTATTCTCTCAATAATTCTTTCTACTTATACTTCCTATCTTGGTTTTGCTAAAACATTGACTGAAGCTTCAAAATGAGTTTCAGCATTGATCTTTAATCTTACTACATGTCTGTGATGAACTAGAGACACTAAAATCTTGCCTATTTGAACATTTAACTTTAATTACCCAAACTTTGGCTCACTGGGGTTGCACGGAGTGAAGAGAAATTGTCTTTGGCTGCATATAAAATATATAAAATAGTGTTATGTAAGTAACAAAACTTTATTTTAAAATTTTTAATGTATTAAGTTATTTTACTAAGTGACTCAAAATCAAGCTTGAAAAATAAGAAAACTCACTTCTCTGCTTAATAACAATAAATACCTGTCTTCACAGTCACACATGTGTATAGTTAGGTTGAAATACTATGACATCACCTTAATAATTCTGTTTTGCTTTCCAAGTTGCAAAAGCATAGGTAACACCTGACACACATGGGTTTGGATTGGACTAACCATGTGTGGTGTGTGCAGTTAGCTCTCCACTGTTACTTTCCCTCATTTGTCTCCTGCACAGTTTGCTCTCCCATACCAATACACTCATGAAAAAGATCACTAAAAATCAAATAATAATATTAAATATTTATGATCATGTGAGACTGATTATTAGCTGTAGAGGGCTACATGTATCCTGCAGGGCATGGGTCAGACCCAGAACCATCTGTGAAAACTACATTACTATTTCAACTTTACAGAAAAAAGATAAAAGTGGTATGTCTACCCCAGGCTATGATGAGGTGAAACCAGTTCCCACAGGCTGTGACTACCATTTGTCCACATTTTTTCTCAACTCCACATTCAATGATTACCAAGAGCTACTTTGAAACTGGTCATGGTAAGATTTCTACAAAGAAATCAAATACTTCAAACTTTTTTCCCCCTCAAGAGCCAGTTGTTAGACACTCGGAAGCACACATTGGTACAAAAAACAGTCAATAAGAGACAACCAGGTTTTGAATGTCGTCATCCTTTATATCCTAATTTCCAGAGTCTATCTTTTTTCTTTCTAAAAATTTTTTCACTGGTTGGAATTGAATTTAGAGTCTTCACACTGAACTGCACCTCAGCCTTTTCATTATTTTCTTACTCTGAGACAGGGTCTCTCCAAGCTGTTCAACTTGGGCTTGATCTTGCATCATCCTGCCTGAGCCTCCCAGAGTATCGCATTTACAGGTGTTTACCACTACAGCGGGCTCTCCAGGGTCTTTATAATGCATTGTTCTATATTCTTGAAAATATATACTGATGGTGAGTAAAGGACAGTGACAATAAATGTATTGGGAAGCTGAGTTGCTGAGATACTACTTACAGCAGATTTAGAAGGATAGAGATATTGGAAGCCAATGGATACAAATCGTACCTCATTCTTTGCCCTTCTCTCTTTTTTTCTGTTAAAAGAGCTCCACCTTGATCATCGTTTTTGATTCATTATCAATTACTAATCTTGAACTACTTTTATATTTCTGCTGAACTGAACCGCTCATAAACTGCATTTTAATGGCATTCCCTTAAATATCTTACCCTGCACTGTGCCTGCTGAATCACCATTTATTTTGCAGCACCCATACCAAGTCCAAATAATTCTCTGCTTTTCTTTGGTTATTTCGGAACTAAATTGCATTTGTCATACTCCAAAAGTTGCAAAGATTTGCCCAGTGGAAAATAAACTAGAAAGTTCTTAGAATCAATTGGCCTGCTATGAAAAGCATTGATGCTGACTCTTTTGGACAAGGTACTCTCCATGGTATGTCTTACAGAAGTGAAAATGTGGCACGAGGCAGTACAAAGAGGTGTTTTACATGCTGGGAAGATATTCTGACAAGTAAAACTTTTTTTAAGGTAATCATAGCTCTAATTTTCTAACTTGACAACAGAGGGTCTACATTTTGTAAAGCCTGGGGAGAGAGGGACTAAAAAATAAAATACCTTTTTCTTGTTGTCTTAAAAAAAACATCATCGAGGGAAGAAGAGTAGTTTTCACCTTTGAATGCCTATTTTCTCCTTCCTCCTCCTGTTTCTCTCCCCTGTGCTGTGGAATTATTCTCCATTTGACAGATATCAGCCATATGACAATACTGTTTTTCATAGCAATGTGCAATCTTTGTTTCCACAGGAGAGGCCCAGTAGGCACAATTTTGGACTTGTTATTAAAGGCAAACAAACGTCCCCCAAAGATTTTCAAAACATTTGACACCAGAATGTGATATTTTAAAGCAGTCCCATTTCCCATAATGGAATGCATGTGGCATAGCAAAAGGAAGAACATTTCACCAAATATAAGAATTAAAATGAATTAATATACTTTATTTTGAGAAGTCTCACAGGATATGTATGGATGTATGCATAATTTTATAGATGATAAAACTGTGTAAAATATTCAGAACTCAGTTTAAAGACCACTGACCCAAGAAAGTCAGTAAAACAAGGAAGGCATTTGAAAGGGAACAAAGCATCCTATTAATATTCATCTTGTATTTAAATTGAGCACAATTTTTATCATTGGGAATTTGTGTCCTATTGTTATAATTTCTTGGGATGCTTCATCAAATCATTAGTCAGATTCTGACAGATTTCTGTGTAAACTAGAAATAATCTTCTCTTCAAAATGAGGTCTCAAATACTGAGTGGACATTGAGTGCATGTTATCAATAGTGCACAAAGTCTTTAAAGATTATGATTACCTCATAAAAAAGTAGAAGATAAGAGCTCTGTGATTATCATGCTAATCACATGCAACATTACCTTCTCTAGCTATAATTGGGTTTAATTTATCACTCAGCATTTAAAGTTAAAATTTTTGTAACTGAAAGACAATAAACTGAATGTAATATCAACAGTGTTAACATACAGATTCACATGACTCACCTGTTTAAAGTAGGACTCATATTTAAAAGAAACTTTTGTTATGTCTGTTCTTTTCCATCAACCCTGTTATGAGTGTTTCTGCTCATGTGTCCTCAAATGTACAAGCAACATCAGTACTTGCTTTTATAGGACAATTTTATGTTAATGTCTGTTGCCATGCCAAACACATGCCCCTAAACTAAGAATAAAGGAGGTAGTTAAGAGTATTTTAAAATTGGAAACGTATTGGTATGGCAGTATACAATTATATATCAAAATAGTATTTCCTGCACTTTATTTCATGGTACTTTTTAAATAAATTTGTAGTTTACAATCATTATGGAGATTCTTTGGGATTGGGGCCAGGTGGACTTGAGCAGAATTTTCCATTTTAGAACTCTATTAAAAAGAAATAATATAAATCATATATTTCTGAACATGAAAGGGTGAGTGGATGCATGGGTCAGAAGATTCTGTTGGTGACTGTTCTATCTGTTCTTAGTTTTGCTTCTGCAGGGTAGCAGAAATCTGATTGTCTATATCAATAGATTACCAACCCCCCGACCTCACCCCTGCCCCCACCAAAGTTACTACCAGCCCAATTCAATTCAAGTGTGGGTTTTTACAAGCAATACTTAGAAGCAAAAAGGACAAACAAACTTGATCTATTGATAATGTTAATGTTTTTTCCCCAAAAAATACTAATCAGCTACTTGTCAGGAAAAAAGAAAAAAAATATCTCTAGGATCCCCCAAATTCTCAAATGGGCAAGACTAAATTCATACATTAATAAAAAAACAATATTCTTTCATTTTACTTTATTTCTTTCAGCCCAATCCCATAGTTCTAAAGAGAAACTTACCTCAAGGACCAGGTTCAATGTGGAGACCCATTTCCTTTACCGCTGGAATACATGACATGGTAAGTGTGTTGGTGTCCTGGACAAACCTCTATTGTCTAAGCAGCTTGATACTAGTTAGTTTTATTCCTAATGTGTGAAAAACTTACTTTGTTTGTGAAAAAAATTGAAACAAATCTTTCATTTATTTATTATTTTATCTTAGAGTCTGCTTTGATTATCCCTATGTGGGTATTTAGATTTTAATATGTGTTGTTTGGAATTTTATTTTTTTGCTTTTACTTTAATTGATTATTTCTTTCATCTTCTAATCTGATTTTTATTTAGGCCTTTTCATGTAGGCCTCTGTTCTACTAATATTTTATGTTTCTGAAATACTGTTTGAATTTGAACAAAGTAATATATAAATATATATATGATTCAATTTCATGATAGATCATTTTATTTCCTTACTGCAGAGAAGGGTAGGAAAGGGAGAGCTGGAAGGAAAAGAAAAAACTCTCTTCATGGAAACCCAAGCCACTTATTTATTTTCATTTTGGCATTTAAAAAGAAAACACACAGTAGCTACATATGACAATGAGGTTTTTCATTTTTAAGAGAGTAGAGTTTTCTAGTCTACATCAGAAAATCTTATTCTCATGTCTGCTTTTCCTGTAAACATTTAATCTTGAGAGAACCACTTAATGTTTTAAGGCTTCAATTTCCATAACTTTAAAATAAGAGGACCATAAGGTTTCTAAAGTCTTTGCAATTCTAAAATTAAGAATTTTGGTTTCAGTTTGATATTATTATTATTATTATTATTATTATTATTATTATTTACCAGTTCCCGAGAGTATATAAAAGACTCAAATTCTGTTGCTAGGTCCCAGGAGGGAGCTCACATTTTCCAAAAGAGATAAGTGAGATATACATATATATGTAGAATATCTTTTGTGTATGTGCATCTTTAAGTATGAAAGTCAACCAGGGGCATGGCTCACTTACATTCATTCTGCTATTTATTTTTATGTCCAGTTGGAAAATATTAAGGTTTATGGAAAATTACAAATATAATTCTTTTGTAAGAAAATTTATATACAGTCATTTGCTAAGACCATGATTGTTGATTGGTCATTTGGTTAGAAATGATGAGAAAGGTTGCTTGGAATTGAATGAGAAACAAATGATAAGATGCTTGAAACTGAGATAATAACTCTGAAGTAGCACAAAGAACTCTGAATGTGCAGTCATTTTCCACAGAGTTATAAAATTACTACCTTTGCTAGGTTATTTAATGACCTTTTATTCTTACTTGCATACACAGAAGCATCATAGGAAAATTGCTTCATGGATAGTGCCATAAATATTTCTTTTATTTGATCTTGCATTTTTCATTTTTCAAATTAGCCTCCCTTTACTTCTATTTCATTAAACTCATTAATTATAAAGAACCAAACTAACTCACAAGAAACTTGGAACATAATATATAAAGAGAAAAATAGATACCACTATACCTCATCAGTTGGTAAATGGTCAATAATTTAATTCATTTTGCCTCAATGTTTTTATTCTACAAATATCTTTTTCTAAAATTGACATTCCTTGATATATAGTTTTGAATATTTTTTACCTTAAATTTCATCATATTTTATCATATTAAATTTCATCATTTTCCCTTATCTGATAAGGCTTATCACAATGTCATAAAACATGTATGATAACTGTATAGTATTATAATTTACAAATTTAGTATAATATATGTGCTCGTTCTTCCATTTTTTGAATAAATAAATTGTTTCACATTTGGCTTTTTGACCAATGATCCAGTGATTTGCATAAGAATTAATTTTCCTCTATGTACCAGGTACACTAACAATGCACTCTATAAAAATCAAACCATGTGGCCCTCTCTGTACATACACCTCTTTACAGTAGTATTGAGTACCAGACAAAGGAATAACCGACTTGCAGGCTGGACACTGAAGTTTCTGGCAAGAAACTTTTTATTGAGAAGGTGTAATCCAGGCATTCAAAGAAAGTCGGTATTTCCTTGTGATGTCAGAAACCAAATTATAAAAATAAAGTAACAGAGGTAACAGTTATAGTAAAAAAAATAAAAGTAGAGCAACAATAGAACCACTAAAAGAAAGTGACAAGGTAATAACCAATGGGCACATACTTCCAAAGTGGGACCTGATGATGATCTTGGTGAAACTTCAACACATCTTCACTAGAATGATTTCCTTCATTCTAAATTAAAAGTTGAGACCTGCCTGAGAAAGTCTTTGACTTCTTCACTACCCTTGCAGTTTTGCAACAAGCTCTTAATATCTGAATGTAAACTTACATTTGTTCCTTACAAACTAAAAGATCCGATGTCGTACAAACTGATAAAATAAATGTTGAGTACCTGAGTATGTACTTGCCACATACGTGGTTATATCCTTCAGATGAGTCTGGAAATATGATATATTGATCAGTTTATTCCAAAACTCTTGATCAGTGTATTTTAAGGCTCTTGCAAAGTGCTAAACTGCTCTCCAGAAATAATTTACTAATGCTTTTGCCTCTAGTTGTGTATGAAGTGGCAATTTCATCCTCATTATATAATGTTATTCTGCTTCTTTGATGACAAAGGATACTAATCCTTTTTCATGTTTATTAGTTACTTGCATTTATTTTGGTGTGAAATAAGATTTGGTAGTCCAGACTCAATTATTACTTATTCCTAACTAATGATAAAATTATTTCCCTCTGACAGAATCAACAAGATTATATTTGAAACTTAAAATGTTTGTTCTTGAAGATTGCCATATATATGGTAGAATTATTTTCTCCCTTTTCCTTTATCTGAATAGTTTTGGGGATAGAGAAAAGCATGAAAAAGTCTGTTATCATGGGTTTGATCCCCAAGTGAACTAATTAGTGTCTTTATGTTCTATGGCCACTTAATGCACTTATTTTCAGGTCAGTTCATTATAACAGTACCAAGGGAGGGAGGGAGGGTGATTTAATGCAAATCCTCCTTCACAGATAAAAGAGAAGAAGCAGAGCATTCCTAGTTGGTACAAAGGTGAGAGTCCTTGAGCCTTGCTTGGTTTCCTCTTCTTTTTCCTCCATAGTTTCATCTATTGTGCTTCTATAAAATCTCTAGTTTCCATGGAACATAATATTAAAACTTGTACAGAGTCACAATATTTATGAAAGATACAATCACTTTATAGGTAGGATGAGATATTTGAGGCCCCAAAATATAAGAAAAAGTAGTAACAACTATTCAACTTTCACTATATCATTACTGCTTTGATCACATGCAATAAAATATAAAAAAGATTTTTACAAACTAAAAGAAAGAGCCACTTTTATAAAAGATATTCAGATCAAAAAAAGTAAAAGTAATATTCATAATGATTTTCTCTTCTGGTGAAGTCTGAGTACAAAGGCAAAATACCATAATAATAAACATTCGTTATCTGAAAAGCTTAATATAATATGAAATACAGTCATTTTCAGATTAAACTATACTTACTCATTCTGTGCTTGTTCACACTATAAGAAAGAAGAGCAAACATTCTCAAAAGAATGCCAATTTTCTCTGTCACTAAAATGCAACTTTATTGACTAAGTAATTTATTTAGATTGATAGAATGAAAATTGTCTACCGGTGTCCAATAAACAAAATAACTTCCACCATTAAGAGAACATAGATTTTGAATAGAATGTGATAAATGACTGCTTTTAGTAAGCTTGTCACCCCTAGGCAAAATGATATAGGATTGTGTATTCCACGACTCCCTATTCCCTTCTGTTTCTGACTCTCCTTTCCTCAAGCTCCTCCCCATTTCCATTCTGCTTGGTTTCTTGATCCTGTGCCATGGTGTGCAATCAGGCTCACCATCCAGGAACAAGACCACAAGGTACAGTCCTTCCTAACCACCACACATGTGTTGAAAACATTTTCCTTTGCCTCCTTTTCTTGGGAATATAGGAAATAGTATTTAGCTAGCCAATCCCAAAATTGAAATTATCCCCAAATAAAATTTATTATAAAATTATTATATCAACTTTTATGGTTTAAATCTAAACATTTCCCAGAACTTTCACATGTGTACAATGAGACTGGATCATAGAAGTGCTATACTCATTGATGGGTTAATCTATTAATGAGTTCATATTTAAATGTTCTGCTAGAGTTGGGGCCTGGTCAGAAGAGGCAAGGTATTTCATGGGAGTATATTTCCCTCTCTAACCCCACTCATTGCCCTTTGCTTCCTGGTCACCACTGTTTGAGCACCATTTACTCTTTCCATGCTTCTCTGCCATTCTGTTTCTGTCTTGAAGCCTGCCAACCATGGCCTGAAACCATGAGCCAAAATAAACCTCTCTTCCTTTAAATTGTTACTATTGGGTATTGAGGCTAGGAAAGAGAACATGACTAAGACAGCATCTCATCAAGATATTTTCTTTCTTTATTCAATAATCACTTATTTAGCCCTTTCATGTTCTAAATATTATTGAAGTAGTGATTACCATGACAATAGTCTTGGTTCTCTAGAGTACACATTCAAATGGAGAATGTAGAAAAGTGGACAGGTTTTCCTATGGAACAAGAAGTTTCATTTTGACAAAGTTTACATATCATAGAAACATTTTAGGGAAAATGATATAGAATTTGAAGAACAGTAAAATCACATTATAAAAACTGATATCTAAGAGAGCAAGTTAAAGTATAATGCCAAAGAGTTCAAAAGTCAAGCCAAAGGCATGCTGCAGCTCCCAGCACAGAGGAGGCTTCCAGGTAGGCATGCCATGGCTCCCAGCCCAGAGGAGACCTCCAGGTCAGCGCACCATGGGTCCCAGGCAGGAGGAGGCTTCTGGGTAGGCATGCCATGGCTCCCAAGACATAGCAGGCCTCTGGATTGGCATGCTGTGGCTCCCAGACCAGAGGAGACTTTCAGGTCACTGTGCCGTGGCTCACAGCCCAGAGGAGACTTCTGGGTCAGCACATCATGGCTCCCAGTGTAGAGGAGGCTTCTGAGTATGCATGCTGTGGATTGCAGCACAGAGGAGTGTTCTG